GGCTGACATCTGTGATAAGGGTTAAGACACTATGGCATTAACTTGAATAGCAAAGCTATTTTCAAGTTGTTGATATGAAGGGGAGGGGGCAAAAATTCACTCCTTTGCTCTTTCACTCCTTTTCTCATTCTTTCCCTTGCTTCTTGTTAACCTTTTTGTGATTCCGCTGACATTTATAAGGCTTTTGCAGATACTTGCAAAAGTATGGCATACAGGAGAGAAATTGAATTTGTTGAGGTGGAGGTCAAACAATTTTCTCACCGAAAGATTTTTTAATGGCAATGTTTCTCATTAATTTTGTCCTTTACATTTCTGACGCAACTACTCGATATCTGACCGCAGAAATAATCTGCGGTAAGAAGATTTTTGCTTGAACGTCTCTATAAAGTCTATATATGAATAGTAGAAGCTAATAGAGGGTTTCTCATAGGTGCCCACTTAATACACTTAGCACGAAGACACTGAGAAGTAATATATCAAACACGAAAGACCATGTTTGACCACACTTCCAAACACCGAGAAGAGAGTTCAGGGTCCGAAATTAACTTTTTGCAGCAGGTGCCAACTGGTGACTGAAATTTTTTTTCAGTTGCCATATGGAAAAATGTGGCCACCAAAAAGTGTCAATAAAGTTTTTCCTTCGCAGCAAAACACAAACCAAATTTTTTTGTCGCCATGGGCTTGCCGGCAAAATATGATTTGTAATCAAAGTAATCAGGAATCAAACCAGTGTTGAAGTCATCTTTTGACCACTTTGACAGATCTACATTTCCACCTTTTGACACCCAGAGAATATCTAAATCTTCATTTAATTTCTTTGTGGATGTTCCGTCTCCACTTTGTAATAAATTACGGAAAGATTTCAGAACATCTTTGGACACAACATCGCCTGAATAAATATTCATGGCGAAAGAACACATGGGGCCTCTTGCACCCGCAATACGTATGTTATGGGAAACCGCTGAAAAAACATGGAGACAAAGCTTCACACTGATTATAGCTGTAAAATGTTGTGGTAGATTTATAATAGCAGGGAAATCGGTTTTATACTTCAAAAGCAGTGGAAAGGTAAAAAGGAAGTGACCAATTGGCAGGCAGCTTGGAATTTTATTTTAATC